GACTGGAAAAGCCTGACTGGAAAAGCCTGACTGGAAAAGCCTCACTGTGTGCGCTACCTTTCTTGGAGGTGGTTCGCGATGAGGGGCTGAAGAACTTTTTAACGGTGGTCACCTTCCGCGTCTTCTCATTGGTCTTCTTCTCCTCGAACTTGGAGAAGGGGCCCAGCGAGGCGTGTCCCGGGGGGGGCTGCGGGGCGGGGGCCTGGGGGGGCGCGCCCTGGCCCTGGCTGCAGGCGTAGGCCGCCTCCTCCTCCCGCTGCAGCCTGGGCCCGGGACAGACCGGGTTGGGGGGTACAGGGGGGGTGTTGGGGGGCGGGGGCGGGGGGGGGGGGGGGGGGGGGGTCTCTTACTTTTCTGCCAGGGCCCAGTCGTCCTGGATCTGCTTCTGCCGCACCCGCTGGTACTCCTCCCTCCAGCACTTGGAGCACAGGCCTTGCCAGGCCGTGTTGCCGTAGTAACCGCATCCCTTTTTGCACAGCAGGTCCGACTGGTCCACGTGAATGCCCCGCCGCTCCGTCCGCTGCTGACTCATGGCGCCGGACCACCTGGAGGGAAAACATTCACGGTGGGACTTCTGGTTCCCGTGGCAACAGGTCCTGCTGGTGGGGCACACAGGCTGACCCAACCCTGTGTCCAGCTCTGATAGGAGTCAAACTTCCTGCTACGTAAGGCAACCTCATTTCCCTTCCCCATCACATTTGACTGTGACTACACTTATTTGCACTCACTGCAGTCACTATGTTTTGTTTATTTTCTTCCCCCCAGTTTAAACTGATGCACAGGAACCCGGCAGGCTGTGTTAGCTGTGCTAACTATTCATTTAACCTTAATTAAAAGTCCTTTATTTGAAATGAAGTCATTTCAAACTATCTATTAAATTTAGTTCAATAATTTAGTCAATTCAAACTATGACTGCGACGTGTTCAAGAAGCGATTTGTGAGCTCAAACCATCTGAACACATTGTGACTAATAAACAACACTGTAATGACACTGTAAAAATAAATAAAATCAAATTTTGCTCCTAAATCAGATGGATCACAAAAATGATTTCCGTGTTGAATGAGAAACAGGAAGTACACATGAAATCAATCCTTTTCCACCCTCAGTTCTTTGGTCACTGCTTAGAAGAACATTCCATGTACAAAGAAATAGGAAAACACACCCAGAATATTCCGAAGGCTTGGTTCCTCAATACGGGAAGATGGTGGCTGTTCATTTATGCAGAAATATGGAAAAGCAAAAAAACTTTCTTACTCAAAGCTTTTTTTTGTTAAGCTGTGTCTCAAGTTCTTTCAGTTAAAAGCTGCATTAGGAAAGTTTTTAGATTTTAAAGACACATCTGCGATAATCAAAACAATCGTGTTCACGGGGCCAAAGAGGAATAAAAGAATATGCATCAATATAACAAGGTGCTCATTAAAAATCGTACCAACCTTAACTACATCACAACAACATCAAAATATTCCAAATGTAAGCAAATCTCACCCACACGGACAGAAAAATGCATATTACATAATGTTGAGAGGAGAAAAAAAGATAAAAGCACAAGCGGCCCTGACTCTGAAATGCCTCCGATCCATCCTCCCTGCTTTTGCAGACAGCGTCTCCTTAAAGTTGTTCCGCAGAATTCTGTCACCCTCAGCCCTTAAAGGGAGACGCGCGAGGACATCTTGTGATTAATCTGCAGATGTCAGCTTGCTTGGTTCCGGATAACCAGGCGGTAAAAGCGGCTCACGCTGCGTTTACCGGCAAACAGATCCGAAACAACACCAAAGGATCTGAGACAGTGTTCGGAATTTGTATTTTAATGTTTCACGTATGATAGTAACTAACGCAAAAAACCCTTTAATCAGTTTTGTACAAAGCAGCTGTCTAATCTGCCATCTTACCATTCCAGCAAAATGGAGAATTCGGATGCTGGTTAGCCCAAATGTCCGATGTGTGGGACTGTAGGGTTTAAGAGGAGAGGGGTTGAACTATTTTAAACTAATGAGACACTTCCATGATAATCATGCTGACTTCCCAGCAATGGGTAACTTGAAATATGACTCCCTTTGAGGGTTAAAAACCATTTCCAGGTCATCCACTGGGCTGACTGGCCGGGGAGTCACATGGTCAGATAGAGACCCTGCCCAATTAAAGAACATGGCAACAACAAACAATCTGATTTGATCATTTCTGTGATCCTAAATGTTGGAAATGCCTGATACACAAACCAACACCGGGTTTTGTGGGTTCATGGTAGCCACTTTGTTCCTTTATTGTTGTCTCATGCTTGTGTTGTGTGTAAATGACATTAATAATTTGTAATGGAAAACCACTGAACCATGTTGGGCCGATTATGTACTAATGAAAAGCGCCATTAGAGTTTCAGATTTATAGCCAATTCATGGTTTGCGAGTGGATCATTTCTAGCATCTAATTCTAAGTCAAACTGCAGCATTTTCACAACTTTCCATGTTTTTTTAACCTTTTTTTCTTTTACAGCATCTTCCAAGTGGAAAGACTGAGAAAAACTGGCTTATCATGACGGACTACATGCCTAACCCTACCCTCACCACACCTCTGCCGTGGCGCTCGCCCTGGCAGGTGGAAATTGTATCAAATGACAATATGAAAACAAAGCCGGGCTGTGGTGGGGGTTGCTCATGGTAACGGCCGCGTTATCGGCAGGATCTGCAGCTCAGCCGGCCGCCAATTCCAGCCTGTTTTTCAGCTCCGGCACCATAGTTGTGTTTACGCTCTCACACATGCACGCATCTTCTGGCAGCAGCTGGCAAAAAACATGCAGACAAAAGGCCGTTATGCGTCCTACCAGGCAGCCACATTCCTCCAGAAGAGGTGGGATACTGGGCCTACATTCAGCAGGTGTTGACCACCCGGATTTAGAATGAATATTGGTGCTCTATAATTCTGGACCCCTAATATCCCATACCATCCATCCATTATCAATACCGCTTATTCCCTAATGGGGTCGCAGGGAGATCTGGAGCCTATCCCATTGGTCAATGGGCGAGAGGTGGGGTACACCTTGGACAGTCCGCCAGTCCATCGCAGGGCCACACAGAGACACACAAGGACAAACAACCACACACACTCACACTCACTCCCCTAAGGGCAATCTGGAATGTCCAACCAACCAAACATGCAGGTTTTTGGACTGTGGGAGGAAGCCGGAGAACCCGGAGAGAACCCACGCAGACACAGGGAGAACATGGAAACTCCACACAGAAACTCCAACCCAGAAGCTTCTTGCTATGAGGTGACGGTACTAACCACCACACCACTGTGCCGCCCCCTACTATCCCACCAACCCTTAATACAACACTGTTTAACTCACAAATCGATGTGGGCTCATAAAAAATCAAACGATAGCATTGCTTCTCCAATCTGAACCAGTAAAAATGCAGTTTCACCAATTGACAGCATCACGTCATGTCAAAACCCTCATAAAGATGATACAGAGACACATCTGCTTACAATGCAGGGGGAGAAAAGTCATTAAATTCCCTTTTGGATCTTAGTGTAGTGACATATCAGTCATGCTGTGAGGCCCATAACCAATCTAAATAGCCTCGTTCCCATTTGCAAAGATATGATCAGTCCACAAATGACCCATTCCTTTCTGGCTGCTCAGAATAAGATCCATCCCAGACATGCAAATAGCTCCTCAGATTACTGTTTACCTCTGGAAAAGAGGGATGAATGGATGGATAGAACTGCTAGTCATTGACAGAGGAGGCGTTATAAAAACGTTATAAATGCTTTAATCCACCTCAAACCATCAGATCAGTTTTTAGATCTGATGGCTAAGCATATTTTATGCTTAGTTGCTGGGATGTCTGGACTCCCACAGGTGCCCGGTTTGGTTACGTACTGGTGGCTGGAAAAGGTCACATGACGTGACTGTTTATTTCTGCTACTATCACATTATTCATGGTGGCTGCCTGTTACCTTTGGGGGCACGCAGTCTTTAAACTAAACCTATTTAATTTGCATTTATTCTCTCATTTGTTCGGGTTTGCTCTGGCTGGAGGTCACGCAGCTAACAGAGGTAGCTGGGTTTCTTTAGCTGCCACGGGGAAGCAAAGAAGCCACGAAAACTCAGCGACTCGACTGATTCTGACTCTTTATTTTGATTGGCAAATCATGCGCCATCTGGGCCGCTTCGACACTCACCTGCTATGTTTGCACCGATCAGAAGCAGGAACAACTCTTCCCCCTGCTGACCTGAGTACCAGCCCAGCGTGAGACAACGGAGCTGCTGCGGGTCAGCCGATGACGTCAGCGCGTAGGGTTGCGTAAATCCGGAAGCCCGACGCTAAATGTCAGCCCGCGAAGAGGCTCCGTTACAACAGGTCTTTCGGCAACTTCCAAATATTTTTTTCAAACGTATATTTTCTCTGAGACTATTTTTCTACAGAACGGTGTGCCTGTTTCCGCATTTAGGGCTTGTCTTAAAGGTATTGCTGCTGTCTATGCGAAACGTGAAAGTCACATGACTGACGGAAAAGGCCGAACAACCGAGTTGAGGTTTAAACGAAGAGGAAGATGGGAGAAGAAGGAGAGAGACAGAAGTTGCTGTAGCGTAGATGGTGGTAGTGGTAAATTAGTTTTAAAACAGAATAAGACTTTATTTAAATTATATAGAGAAGCTAAACTCTGTATGAAGACCAAATAAACCTTTATCTAAAAACCTGTATCGCCTCTGTGACCCCACCACCGAACTTTGTGCTGTTGGATTCTGACCATACTATCTGCCCAGGGAGTTCACACAGGTCATCATGGTGGCTGTCTATGCACCCCCTTCCACTCAGCCATAGCCCGGCCACAGACTCAACACCTGAGCGCGTTCATAGCTATCTCGGGTGACTTCAGTCAAATCCCCATGTACACACCATTCCCCACATTCACACTGTATGTGAGCCGTCCCACCAGAGAGAAGAGAACCATCAACCTGCCGTGTGCTGATGTTAAAGATGCATACAGCTCCTCTCCTCTCCCCCACTTGGATGGTCAGATCACTTGCCTGCTTCACCTGGCCCCTGCTATGTGTCTGTGGTGAAGAGCCAGCCTGTAACCACTAAGACGGTCAGGAGATGGCCTGAAGAGGCCAGTGAGACCCTGCAGGGCTGCTTTGAAGTGACAGACTGACAGACGCTCTGGAGAGGACCTGGAGAGGACATTGATGGGCTCACAGAGTGTGTCTCCGATCACTTTAACTTCTGCGTGGACACCATCGTCCCACCAGACTGTCCTTCGTTACCCAAATAACAACCCGTGGGGGAAAAAGGACATAAAGATCATCCTGAACAAGAAGAAGAAGGCTTTCAGAGCTGGCAACAGGAGATGAGAATGATCCAGAGGGAGCTGAGAGTGAAGATTAGAGAAGCCAAGGACAAATACAGGAGGACCCTGGAGTGGAAACTCCAGCAGGACAACATGAGAGAGGTCCGGAGTGGAATGATTATGGATTGCAAGTCAGAAAAGGTGACCAGCACCACCGGAGCCAGAATAAAATCCATGCTGGACAACTCTACACGTCCTTTTTCTGATGTTCTGGTCACCCCCAGAAGCAGCTTCAGTCAGACTCATCTCACCACGCTGCACCACAGAGCGCCACAGGAAGTCAGTCCTGCCTCTGGCCAGCAAATTGTAGAATTCAGCTCTCTGACAGCCATTTAATTTCATTACTTTTTATTTATTTATTTCATACTTCACTATGTGCTGTAACCCGGTCATGTGCAACAATATTAATTTACAATCTGAGCAGCTTTTTTAATACTGTAGATTGTAAAGTTTATTTATTCTATTTTTTTCGTTTGATTTTTTTTTCTTCTGTAAACAAGTGCACTGCAAAAAAAAAAAGAATTTCTCTTAAGGGATTAATAAAGTAATTCTGATTCTGATTCTGATTCTACCTGTATGTTGAAGTGCCACAAACCAGCCTGTCTGAGGGAATTAAAAGAAAAAATCAATTAATGAAAATATATAATGTCTTACAATACCCATGTGTGAATTATATCAAATTAACTTTGAAAATTAGAATAATGAAAACATATTGTAGCTAAAGGTGTTTTTGGAATTGTAGGGACTGACTCCCAGGCTATTTCTGCACATCACAGAAAAAGTTCAGTTTACTTCAACTGACAGTTGCTGATGTTGTGGAGAATTTTCTTTTGTTCCTTTGTTAAAGCTACTGTTGTTGATTCCTTTAGGGAGAGTCGTCTCACACGTCTGAAGACTGGTTTTAGCACCACTAGGAAATGCAACAATTTCCTTAATCTCATCAAGAATGAATCTCCCATTCCTGTTTATCATTGAAATTGTATTACTTGCCCTTTGTGAAACCTTCACACCTGAGAAGGTTTTCTTTTTGACCAATCCACATGGGGGCCCTTTCCTGTCTCCTGAGAATATGCATATCACTGTCCCTTTGGAGATTCTCCAAAGGACTTCCTGAGGACTGAATGTAAATCAGAATCTCTTTGTTTGTTGCTGATAAGAAACACAGTGAAGTTATAAAAGGAGACGTGCCTTCTGTTCAGGCACGCATTCACTTGAGTTTTCTCTGTGAATGCGTCTTCGAACGCTCTTGCCTTCGAATAAATCTCTTTATTGGACAAGATCGATCTTCTCTAATTATTAGGAAACTTTGCCTCACTCTTTTAAAGAACTTTTCCCATAACACTGACAAAGGTATTTACTGAAAAGACAGCATAGGGAAACCATCAGGTTCAGCAAATTTCTATTAATTTACACTTGGGTTAATGTTTAGAGGTTGCCTCTAAATGCAACTCTGAGAGAGTTCTGCAGTTTCTGTTTTTTATTTTTAGCACTTACTCTACAACGGAATGGGTAACAAGGCATTTTTTACAATATTTGCTTCCGTAATTTCCTTTTCATTGATTTTAACTGCGTGAACTTTAGAAACCACATTTTTATCTTACCAGCTATGGTTACAATGACAAACAAAGTCTCTATTAACAGCTTAGCATTACGAAATGGCAACACATTGGTCTATATAACAAGATAGAACAGTTCAAATGACCATTTGAAATGATCTGTTTTTAAAAAAAATGACACACAGACCAACTAAACCTTGTACACTCCAAATTTCATACTAAGATTAAAGGTGTAAACAACAGATATTTGGTTCAGCAGAACTATTTGGGTACAGGAAATACTAATAGGCAGAACATGAGACTTACCCAGTCCTCTGCGAATTCTCAGACTGCTCGAGTCATGGAGACTTAAACCACTTATGAAACTTTCAAGGGAGAAGTGAAACATTTGTTCCTCTCTGTAGAGTTCATTTTTAAAGGGAGTCTGTGAAACCTCCCCTCACTGCAGGTTCAAAATTAGATTTAGAAATTCCGACTTCTGGGTACTTTTTTTTACGATGGAAAAACACACTGTTGACTCGTACTGCACGTCTTCCCAGATAGCAAAGTATGCAAAAGTATGGGTGAATCAATGCTGAAATATTGAGGCCATGTTGAAGCCTGACATTTAAATTCTACAAAAAGTGGTCAGTGACTTACACGTTGAATCAACATTAGGTTTTCAAACATAACTGATACTATATCAATGTTGATTCAAACATCATTTAAATGCTTCCATCACAACTCGGTAACCTCAACATGGGGTGCCTACTTTAAAACACGATGAACCCCCACCCAGTGATAAAAAGCTCTAACCCAGAGCTTAAAGAGGAGGGGAGGGGGTCACACGTTGTTTCAACATTGATTAGAAGTTGCTATTGTACTGGAAGTCAATTTCTCCCTGGAGATCAATAAAGTATATTCAATTACAATCATCAGAATCTGACCACAAAACAACACTGATTCAATTCCATCTTTTCAACACGGTTTACTGCCTACGACATGATGATGATTTAATGGTTGATCCCCACATCAGTCGACGCCCTTAACCAAAACTGAAACTTTGGACCATAATTCAACATCTTATTAACGTCCTGTGCTATGCGGCTTGTCACCGTGTGTTTATTCCATTAGGATATAGCCCCCCCAGGTCTGATCAGCTGGATGTTTACTGGGCCAAAAACAACCAACGCGACAGGTAATATGCAGTTTTACAACACTGTGATGTGGACATGCAAAGGAAGATGGACTTGGACCCAAACAAAGACAGGCCCTTAATGTGAACTTTGAATCCTGCGTTTTATAGGTTTACAGACTTTCTACACACAGAAATACTGGGCAGGCACACGTCCAAAAGCAAAAGAGGACTGGTTCAAAGGTACAAAGATCACCTCGTGTTTGTGGAAATCCAAACTCAATTTCATGTCACAATGAAATGTCAATATAAAATGGAACATGTGGGGAGGGGGAAAAACAAACACAAGCACAAAAAAAAAAGCAGACCCTGTTGACTCAAACTGCAGGCTGCCTGTGTTCTGGCTTTTCCGTGGCAGAGAAACTATTAATGTAACTTCTGCATGCACTGATATTAGCATTTTTGTTCCTGTGAGCCATGTTGGACTGAGCGTAATGCTAGCATATTCATGACTGGATCAAATAAACGCAGCTAGGTCTGAGGACGGACTGGGATAGACAGACAGGGGCAGTCATGATCCTGATGGACCGTGGCATGTGTCTTCCCTCTCCGGCGACCGTCCAGGAGCTGTTCTCCGTAGCTCGGGATGCTAACGTCATCCCTGAAATTTCCTTGGACCCGGTCCTCACCACCTTCCTCTCTCTGGACTCCTCTGCAGCGGTGCAGCACCGGTACGCTTTCATCCAGCGGAGCATGAGCACGGAGCAGAGGGCCGTGTTCAACCTCAACCTCACCGGAGAGCTGGGGGGGAGCAGGGTCACCTGTGGAGGAGTGGGGGTGGTGGCTCTGGCTCTTTCTCTGCTGTTTGACCAAGTTTCCCAACATGTATGTGGATGTTTGTGTCTTCGATGTACACATATACTGGTGAAACAGACTGAGGATCTCATATCTTTTTCTATTTATTCATGAAACATGACAGTGAGATAAACCTGAAATTTGCATCCTCTGATGATTTATCTGCCCTATTAGGTCCGGGCACAAGGATCGACGGAAGATTTAATTTCAAATCAGAGATCCAAGGCTGAGAGGATTTTTGGCATCAGCACATCTTCCAGAATCGGATGGATCGTCCACAGCTACCTCCGGCTCGTCCCCAGCATCGCCAACATCCACGAGAAGATGGCTGAAACCACAGAGCTTTATGACAACTGGCTGAAACGTGAGCTGCTTGACCACTATGAGAGGATGACCACGAAGAAGAGGATGAGCACAGAGTCCATGCAGCAGTGGCTAGCTGGCGCTGCAGTTCACCTGCACATGCGAATCCACCAGGTCAGCACGGCTGGAACAAAAGCATTTAAATGTATATTCAAATGAGCTTTTAATGAACTTTCTGGTAAAGTCAGAACCACTATGATAATTTTTTTGATTGAATATTGGATAAAAACTAGTGCAACTGAAATGGCCCCTTTAGAAATTAAATTTAAGCTGTGATAGAAGAGATAGAGTTTCAGTAACTATTTGATCATCTAAAATCTTGATCAAAATTTAGGACTTTCCTTTGATATATTTTTTTAGTGAATGATTTGAAAATCATACTCATTTAAGTTTACAAATCATGGCTCCAAGGGATAGCATACTACAGGATGTTGTGGCAAAAGAACCTGAAGAAAAGTAGATGGAATGTCTTTAAACTGTAAGGTTTATTTTATTCTGAACCTGTGTCTTGGCAACTGCAGGTCACAATTTTTTTTATTTTCAGTCTTTACCATTCACATCATGTGTGGAAGTGGGTCAGGTTCTGGCTAAAAAAAAGATTATCACAATATATCTACATGTCATGGGGTTGAACAATGGTCGTTAGGAACAAAACCATTTCGACAAGTTGCTATTTGTCAATATTTCTGCATTTTTGAGGTTACTGAGAACATGCATTTAAAACTGTTTGGCCCACAGCTTTTTTGTTGATTCGCTTCATTGATCCATGCTAGAGAAGGATCAATAATAACATTTGATCTGTAAATGATCTCCTAAAACTGCTTAAGGAGGCCTAAAACAGAGCTTAAAGAGAGACACTCCAAATTAGTATTGTGGATGGTCAGCAATGTTGTTGCAAAATTAATAGGGATTAAATGAATAGATTTAAAAAACAGCTAGATATGGACTCTGTACTCGCTATCTTGGCCAGAGAACAGTAAGGGAATTTGAAAAAACTCTGTAACTTTAGTGTACACAAGTATTAATCTGTCTTTACTCAGTAAAATAGCCTAAGGATATCTCTCAGAGATTCAATATTGGTCTGTGACATGATGACATGGTGTAGTTAGTTTCACAATTGTCTCTTTTCTAAGGAAGCAGTGCTTAGCAACTCCATGTGGTGACATGGAATTTACACGTTATTACATAGGAAAAATGCAAAATTCAGTGAGCTACTTTGACTATCTTATAAAAGGCAATGCCACAGGCTCTGATCAATCCAACTATCTTTTCATTTTAAAAATCCTCTAAAAGATCAAAATTACACTATGGGTTTAAAAGTTTAAATGTACTAGTGTTTCTGTGGACGTTCTTCAAAGTACATTGTAACATATTCAATCATCATGGGGTACTGAGTGGGTTTTAAGTACCATTTTTCCTCCTCCTACAGGTTCGTCTCCACTCTGTGCCAATAGGATCAGCTGAGTCGCTTCGTTTGTCCTACAAAACCGGTTTCAGTCACCTAGTTCAGGGTTACAGAGCCTATCTGCACAGGAACATCCTGGAGACTGAAGCTCCAGGGCCAACAAAGATCTCCACTGGAACAGCCTCAGGACAAACTAACACGTCCCGCCCAATCAATATGACCTGTTCTAATAGTCTGCCTTTTAATGACAGCTTGCTGAGTCAAACTCATGAAGTGAATGATTCTAAAACACACACTTTAAGAGCAGGAGATAACAGAGGATGTAAAAAAGGTGGATCCAGAGAAGACTTTGAACTCAGTGCGATAAGAGGAAACCCTGTTAGAAACAGAGAGATGCTCAACAACCCTACTGGAAGCGGCAGGAAGGAGGAAGAGAGCAAACTTGGCCTGTTAGTCATTGAGTCTCAGAGAAACGTGAGTCACAACGTGCACCATCACCCCTGTGAGTCCCCGGCCATCCAGCAGGCTCTGGTGACCCGGATCATGAATGCGCAAGACCTGGAGCACAACCGGAATTTCTTCCTCTTCCCCCAGAGAGTCCTCCTCAGCCTTCTCAGGCAGAGGGATGAGTTTAGGTTGAGGGCAAACTAGCTAGACATTTTCCAAATGTTTTTCACTGATGGTGCAGTCACCAACAAATGCAGAAGTGAAGGGGGAAAAAATCAAGTAAGACCAAAAAAAATGGAATCACATTCCATTGCAGAAACAAAACACTGGCACAGATATAGATATGCCAAAGAGTCAGCAACTAGGAGAGTGCTTGTAGAGCTCAAGGAGATGTTGAACCTGACTGTCAGGGAACGTGGCCCCAAACTAAAGACCTGACAGAAGAAACAGTGGAAAAAAGACAATAGAACTCCCTCAAGATAATAATAAAACTCAGTATAGATAAAGAAGTAGTTTCCCATTCTGATACAAACAAAATGTTAAGGTCATACATTGGAAACAAAACAAAACACACAAAAAAGCACTGACATGTAGGAGAATAGCAAATGCACAGCAACAGAGCTGCTTATGAAAATAAGATTTATATCCAGCAAAGTCAACCACAAGCCATCAGTTGAACTTAAAGAAAATAAAACATGGTTACGGGGGGGTGAAGAGAAGGAGCTTTATACTGTGGATGGTTGGAGAAAAGTGATAATCACTTTTGCCCTGAAAAATGGAGAGCATGCTGGAATTCTGTGTGGGTCCAATGAAACATACAATTACGACTAAAGAAAAGAAGCACATTGACAATCACTGATATGGGACTGACATTGAATATGTGACCTATGACCTAAATGGCTCTATATCATGTAAATTCATTGTCTTTAATTCTCTAGTCTTCCAATAATTTAAGTCGTCAGAAAAGCCAGTACAGGTGTAAGAAGATATTAATTGCGTTTATTCAATTATTTTTCACGCTGTTATGCAATTGCAACACTTTTATTGTAATGAATAATAATAATAACAAAAATAATAATCATCATCATTATTATTTTTATTATTATTATTATTATTATTATTATTATTATTATTATTATTATAAGTCAGATCGTTCAGCTGATATTTAAAATAGTTTTGGTTAATGTATAAATAAAAAAAACATCTAAATGAACATTGTTGGGAAGTATTGATTACATTGTTTTGGCCAGGAGTTGTTTATACTCTAGATATATATCTAGATATAACTGATTGTTGTGCCGTTATCTTTGAGAAACTGCCCATTTCTCCCTCTTTTTTGTCGTATCTTCTGTAAGTCAGCATTAAAGTGGGTGCTGTTCTGTTGTTAATTGACCACAGATACGACTATGCTTTCTCTTAAACAAAGTTACATACTACTTCTCCATAACCTCTCAATAAACAGATACAAAATAAAGTTTAAAAATTTGTTGGTTTCAGGGTCATACTGCAAGGAATTTTATGGTGTTTTCTTTTGTTTATGCAGCATAAGTTGATTTTTTTTACTTTGAATGCTCTGTCAATTGTCTAATGTATACTGAGAATGTGCATGCCACACACTTCTTTTCAAATCACATACTTTATTCTCCGGGGTTTATATTGCACATATGCTGTGTTTCGGCTAAATACTGTGCCTATTCTGTCACAATATAGAACCAGTTCTTTCTGAGAGTTAAGAGTAATCAAATTCCCTTAGGGGAAAAATACTACAAAACTGCTGATTATTTGAGCACTTCCTTTAAAAAACAATTAAAGAAAAAAGAAACACTTTTTTTCTTTTTGAGTTGTTATCAGTCAATGCAAAATTCAATGGAAAAGATTTCCACATTTCCACATTTTCATTACACTTTCTTTCCAAAAAGAAAGTTAAATCAAATACTTAATTTAGATTGGTAAATATTGACATTTTTGGATGACATACTTTATGTGGTATTTCAGAGATAAAGCGTCCAAATGGCGTTTAAGTGAATAGCAACAAGCTGCAGATATGTAAACAGTGTCCTCGCGTCTTGCAGAGTCGAACGTGCCGTAATAGAAGCGTAGAAGAAGAACTCGTGTTGCTGCCGCGCTTCGTGTGTAAACGAGGCACAACTTCCGGACTCCGAACATTAGCATGAACAGGAAAGGAGAAGCTCACGGTTAAGATACCTTACTAGCATTGCCATAACAGGTAGGTGTTTTTTAACCTCTTCCCTTACCCACTGTATTTTAAAGGATTATCTAGTGCACCTATTATGCCCCGTCACCACGTTGTTTAGATAGAAAGTAGAAGAAAGTGTCGAAACGGTGATAAACAGCTATGAAACCATACCACGCAGTTAAAAAAACAACTTGAATTTGGAAGCGTTTACATTAAATACAAAGGTTGGATGATTTAGTTAATGGTTAACTTGGACTTGTGAACGACTGTGTAAGTTTGCTAATATGCTACATGCTAATATTGTTTTGATAAAAAGTCTCAAAGGGGAATGCCATTTCTTAAAAGCATCATGTTTAATTATTTAAATAATTTGAGTAAAAGCTTTTGCTAATTTGCTAGTCATCGGAGGTAATAAGAGTTAAATTTACTTTACACAACTCAAAGGGAAAATAAGCTTCAGACACATTCCACTAAAGCTAAAACCTGTATCCAGCAGAATCATGACTTGTGATCCGGACTTCATGTCGGGCCAGATTCTGAACTAACCACAGCAGTTTAACGTTAGTCTCACCACGACGTGGTAGTTCCGTGACACATAAAATTGTTGAGAAAGGATTCTTACAGGCAAATTACTTTTTTCGAAAGCTTTGTTTTATTCGTAGAAGTTTCCCAAATTTCCACAAGTTGTGTTACGACCGGAAGTGCGATTTGGGCGGGTCTAAACTAAATCCTGTTAGTTTAAGGAGGAACAAAAACAGTACATGCTCTTGGTATTTTGTATTGTGTTTTGCTTTTACACAGCAATAGTTTTGCTTGAAGGTTATGAAATGGTTTGAGATTTGGTAGTTATGCTATAATGAGTGTGTTAGAATTCCCTTTGTCTCTGAATGCACCTTAAGATGAACTTGTTTTGCTTCAGTGCAATTTGATAACAAGCTTTCTAGTTTCAGATAAGAACAAAGGTTCCTTCAGCCAAAAATCTTGAAAGGATTTAATTCCATTCAAAGGGGATATATCATTGAATAGTACAGGAAGCATAGCATTCAAGGGAAACTTTTTAGGTTTAGCGTACCTGCTCTGTTACTGTTACTTGCTCTCCTTTATTTCAGAAGTTCAAATTTTCACTGTTATTTTGGCTCTTAGTCCTGCTAATGTCTTTAGACATGGGCTGTTCCCACGGCTTTAAAAAGGCATTAATTGTGCGGTGTGGAGCGGGTTTCCAAAACAGGGTGTGGCACATCTGACTGAAACTATACAGGAGTATGCCTTCGCAAGGTCAAATGACACCCAGACAAAGGCTTTCTCAGACTGCGTTTTATCTTGCTGAATCATGGCTGTGGCCGAACTACTCCGAGTGTAAGGGGGCATTGTGGTGCTTTGAGCTACGATTACATCTTCATAATGTCTAAATCTTAATTTTCATTCGGAAAAAAAGCATATTGGCATGTAGAGAACTGCGTGGTTATATAATCTGAGAAAGGCTCGCCACATTTCCTTCTTCAATGTTATGTTTGATAGTCAAACAATCAAACTGTTCTTTAGCTCCAGGTGCTTATCATACTGTTTATCTGACAGGTGGGAGGATGGAAATGCGAAATAGTGGCAAGCCTTTTGCAGTTGTCATAGGCCATAGGGTAGCTTTTATATTGCCCCAACAGTGCATGACCTGCAGCTTCCACATATTTAGAATATTTTGTATGGCTGTGAACACTTCTTACATCATTAGAAAGATAGTTACCATACTATTTCAATGACTATTGTAGGCCTAAGAAAGCTGATACCTCACAGACAGTTTATATAAAAGCAAACTTTCCTGTAAAGACGCTCTCCATCATTTTTGCAGACTCTTATGCAATGTGAGATATTTCCAGCTAAAGCCTGAGGACTTAAACTTATTCCACTAAATCCAAACCTGGTTTGTTCTGACCAACCAGCTCTATTTTTAACGTGCTGTCATCCATTTTGTAAATGCAAATTAGCTTCAGAACAGTTCTCTTGTAGTGATGGAAAGGGGCCCTCTGATGTGTGAACACTATGATCACTTAACTTACAGGTAGCTCACTGTGCTGTATCTGTTTTTAATGTAACAGTCTGACATTTGACTGGATATATTTGAGGGGGGAAATGCAGTTAAAAGAATGCCCTAGAGTATGTGTTGTAAAATGGACCTGCGCTCCGTTTTACAGAGTCGTAGAAAATGTCGGATTCAGACTCCGATCCTGACCATGGAGGCGAATGCCAAATCAAAAGGCGAAAGAAATACGTGGTGAGTTATAGGTCTCTCGGCAATATCTGATGCTATTGTGCCTCGTGTTGTTCCGTCCTGATGTACTGTTTTGTATTTGCTTTGCTCCCACAGACAAATGACACGCTTATCACCTTTCGTCCATCTGGTAAGAAGATGTAGCTCATTTCTATCAGTGTTAAGGCTGTTTCATAAAAGAGGCCGTCAATTGTCTTAACCTCCCCCAGTCTGTTGAGTCTGTGTCCTCCATTGGTTTTAAAATGAATGAATTGACTGGTTGATTTTTTTTCTTTTAAAATGTATTTCCAGAGGAGATTTTTAGAAAGTGGCGCAATATCCCTGAAGATGTCAGAAAACAAGCTGCGCAGAGGATGAAGGTGTGTTCCTTCTGGCTTCCCATTCTTCTGCAGCCGGACGATACCACCACCTTCGCATGGGGAGTCGATGTCGGTTTAATCAACCCCATGTAAGGGTGTTTCTGATCACTGGGATCAATTTCCCCAGGAATCTGTTCTGCTTAGGCCGCTAAAGTTTTTTTTTTTTGTAAATGTCTCTTTGTAGAAACAGTGAAAAGCTAACGCTGCAACACCTGAACAATATCGAAATAGTGGAAGTGATCCTCCAAGGCATGGAGACCGGCACTGTAAGTTGGTCGTGTTCACTCTGAACTTCCTGTCAAAAAAGTTTACAAAAATGTAAACCTCATTTATAGTTTATTTATTCTGTGTTCTAGATAACAAAGGACCATCCCAGACATGTTATCGCCATAAGCAACATGTTTAATCTGGTAAGTTGGAGGAAAACTGTTGTAAGCAAAGCTCAGCAGACAAAGGGTGTCCACTAAGAGCAAGGCTTTGTTTCAACAGCGTTCTAAAGAGGTTTTTGAGCATGCTGTGCGCTATCTGGAGCGGGCCGGAGACCACGGCGTCGTTCAGCGCATGAAGGACCTGGGCCGCGACCTGATCTGCTTCACAGCCCTCCACCTCATCTTCACAGAGTGTAGGCCGCCGCCATTTTGGATAGATGACAGGAATCCCTTTAAGGAAATCAGTTACATCTTTCTTTTTCCTTTTTAGTTGCCAAGTTTATTCAGGAAATGGGTAGCAACATGGAGAGGACTCTAAAAGCCCTGAACGCCAAACCAGCTGACTATCTTATAGAGGTAAAATCCAACAGCATGGTTTTCAAGATAACTTTTAATGTATGAAGTAAGTACTGAGCCACCTTTTGGTCACAGCAGACATTTGATTACTGGCAAACAATTGTAACTCCTGTTTGGCTCAGACTAGAAATTAGGAATGATGAGCAATAGCTTTAACTTTCTCCTTCTAAATGGGGATAAAACAGATTATAATATAGTAAAAAATGAAGAGAAAAAAACGCTCAGCGGCTCAGATTTGTTTACCAGAGACTGAATTGTGTGAGTTGTTTGAGATTCAAATCTGCAGTGTCATGGCTTAACTTCCTTTGAAATGTTTCTTGATCCAGAAAAGCGATGATATGAGGATAAAGGGCAATGACAGCTTCCAGAAACAGCAGTATGAAGAAGCTATCAAGTTTTACTCCAAAGCTGCCAAATATTAGTAAGTGATGTTCCATCTGTGCCTTTTAAAGGTTTCTTTTCTCTGACATGAAACTTAAGCCATGTCACACTGGGCTGAGTTATCAGTTCTCTGAGTACAACATAGCAAAGCTCTCAGATTTAAGCCATTACTGGACTAATTTTTTTTTAAGGACAATGGCCGTAAAATTTAATACAACAGCTCACACACATTTGACCTGCTCATCTGGTGAATCCATGTTCTTATGTCACTTTTTCCCCCTACTTTCCAGCCCTGATAACCACCTAATTTATGGAAACAGAGCCCAGTGTTATCTCCGCTGTAAGGAGTATCTGTAAGTGCGCTTCATTATTTACCTCTACTTCAAATTTACACACTCAGGGAATCTTTTGCTCATCTCTGTTAACCATCCCTAACATCATGATCGTGCTACATAGCATTAAGATGCCCTTAATAATAGGTCACAGTTGGAAAAAAATGGAGTATGATGGTGGAGAGGCAAAAATGCAGCGTGAGGATGTGTAGGGTCTCAGCAGGTTGAAGTTTATGTAGTGAACTGAAAGGACAGAAAATATTACAGTTAACTTATGATTTTCTTGATCTCTTTAAATGTTTAATGTTGATGGAACAAGCAGCAGAGTGATGAGTCTGTTTTGCCTGCACTTTTCTGTTCAGCTGCCAGATCTTTATCAGTAATGCTTTAGAATTTTTTTGAGCCGATGAAAGTGAAGCCTTTGTTGTATAGCAAGTTAGTGAGTTTACTTGTTTGCTCTAATACCTTCTCTTCCTCATCCTAACTTTTTTTTCTCCATCTGTTAAATCCCTGCTCGTGGCCTCGTCTCACTTTGCCTAGTAATAGAATATATTATGAGATAAACGGCTGGTCTTCCGTCTCTTTTTGGTGGGTATCTCCATTCTGTTCATTCACATTTTTTATTATCATTTTTTCCTATAGAAAAGCGGTTGGTGATGGAAAGCGGGCCATTCTTATCAAACCATCCTGGGCAAAGGTACTTTTGTCTTCTGGTTTCATTTGGCTACCACAGAGGAACAGGAAGTGTACTTCAGCACTAATTCACAGACTTGGTTTATTTTGCCTAGGCTCCAGCCCCCCGCGACCCCGTTAGGGAATAAGCAGTTATAATAATGGATGGATGTAAATGGTTTATTTTGCTTTGTTACCAACTCTGTAACTCTGTAGTTTTCCAGAATGCAGCTGAATTGAAGATCAGATTGAGTTTTTCCGCAACTAGAGTTGTTTTTTTTCTTCTGTTATTTCAATAAATATATTATTTTTATTTGAGGGTTTTATGTACTGGAGATGAATAAACCTCCCACCTCTTCTAATGTGGCTTGTTCTCTGAGCTGTGAGAGCCGAGATCTCCTTGACATCTGCAGAGTTTATTTCATCATCAGATTGGAGTCAGTTCCAGGTTCATCACCCCTCAGTGTGTAGTGTCCTGTAACCGTATCTCATTCATTTGGATAACAGATTGCTTTTTTAACATGCCGGCATCCGATTTAGCTGATACAAACCGGTATACTTTTAGTCAGGGTGTGAGCCGTGTTGCTTTGTCCCAGAGTGGAGCCTGGCTGTAAAGTTCTGCAGGGTGATGTCAGACTATACACAATGCTTCTTTTTGTGCTTGCAGGGTCACTACCGTTTCGCTGAAGCCTGGTTCTATCTGGGAGAAGTGAAACTAGCTTTTCAAGCCAACTGTTCGGCCAAGTCACTGTTCAGAGATGACCAGGAGAAACTCAAAGAGCTGGAACAGCAACACAATAAATTCCTTTCGGAGCTTAAATCCTGTATGTTTACCTCATAAAATAACAGTGAATTTCTGTGGATATTTGACAACATAATGACATTACTGCACATAGGAAGAGAAGACTGGTTTCCAGTTTCTTTTGTCTTTCATTTTCATTTACTGCATACCAAAACTGAAACGTATGTTTGTGTTTTGTTTTCAGCGGAACAAGCACCGTATCCTCAAAAGTATGTGTGCACTCCTACTTAATGAGCTCAGGAGGTGACGTCTCACATGGAAACTCATTTCTCTGTCCTCTTTTGGCCCTAGGTTAAAAGGGGGTCTAAAACGACCGCATTCAGCAAAAAACAGTGCCAAGACGGATTCACTATCTGGCAAAGCTGAGAAGGTGAGCAACCCATTCATAATGTCGGGTTCTTTTTTTATGTCTATTTTTCTTATTGATTTATATTGATTTTTAAAGTTTTTAAAAAAATCATGATTGGGCAATTTGTTCTGTTGCTTGAATATGAGAAACCTTTGAAGTGACTGTTATCAGTTTTTCTACTAATGCATTTGTATAATGTGTGTAAAGGAAATTTATATTATTTATATATATATTATAAATATATATATAAAACAAGAAACAGTCTTTTTATTGAATGCAATTTGTGTGTCAACAGGGAACAGAGTCTAAAATGGGCAAAAAGACAGGTGAGTGTGTTGTCTCAGTTTGATAATGATGTAATAGCCACCCTTCGTCGTTTCCTTTTACCATTTTAACTTCCACCTGCTGGTCATTTTTACGTAATTTTTTTATAGAAGTGTTCTGGGGACTTTTGTAAGCTTAAAATCTTGATTGTTTACAATGAAAAATCCTCAGTTCCAGTTTAGTAAAGATACCTAAACCTGTGTTAAGTTGTGAAACAGTTTCTCCATCATATTAGAATTTAGGTTTTTGTTTTCTGCTGCTGGAATTCACACAGCTCATCCAGTGACATCTTAGTGAGCTGTGACAAATCAGATCCACACAAAATCTAGTAAATCTAGTCTCTCAGGACATTAAAAGCAACCTGTCTTCTGAGTATTTTTGTGCAAGTGCAATTTTTATGCAAAGTGTAATTTTCACGGTATGCTACGACAGCAAACAGGAGTTCAGATAAAGAGGATAATTGATTCATTCATCATTAATTGTCTACTTGATAAAAATAAAAAATCAGTTTCTCTTACGTCAGAGGGAATTCTTTGACATTTTGAACTCTTAAATAGTATTAAAGAAAGGAAAAGAGGCAATCTTCATTAGCTGTTGCCAAGGTTTGATTTGATTAGGAAATATTTTTGACTAAACTATTGACTTAAAACTAAATGTTTCATCCAAAATTCAGACCAGTCACACCCTTCACCGCTGTCTCCCCAGGTAAAAATGAAAAGATCACACAGCCCGAGGTCAACGGCAAAGACCCCAAACCATCAAAAAGGTAAGCTGGAGTACAGCTACCATGGATGTCTTCATGGATTATTTCAAAAGATGTTCAGTTCACTGGTTATTTTTAGAAGTTGCTGTTAGGGGATACATTTAGGACCTAAATCATCATCTGTATTTATCTGCCAGTTGGCTTCTTTGTGATTTAAGCTAATTTAAGCTCCAGCAGACGAAAGCTTCTGCAGAAACTGACTAAGATTTCTGTGCTTCCAGTGAGAACGGAGAGTCCAACGCTTCAGCGAAAAAGAAGTCAAAGAGCAGAGTCCCTCTGGCTGAGGATGCGGTGCGACTGGGTTCACGTTTCCTTTTAATGAAATCATTAAGATGAGTGAAGTCCTCTGAAATAACCCAGCTGTTGCCCTGTGCGCTCTGCCCCGAAACAGGAGCCGGCCGACAGTAAAAGCGACGTGGTTACAGATTTCCGGTCCAGAGTGCAGGACGCCTTCACGGCCCTGTACGACCAGCGGAGCCGCAACGCCGAGCAGGCCTTCAGCCAGGCCCTGGACCGCCTGGAGTCCAAGACTCCCACGGTAGTGCTAGCCCTCATCTGCCACACTCCTCTGCACTCTACCAGGGGCTTTAGAGAACTCTTCACCAGTTGTTGTTCATTTGAATTAGAAAAAGAAACACATTGTGATAGTATAACTGAGCACCTGAGTCTTTAGAGGCTTTTTTCCCTCCCTCTTTCCTCATGTTTGTGGATATATTGTGTAAATAGATTTAAACCGTTTAAATGGAAATTAAATGGTTTTAAATAGTGATTTAAAGTCAAATAATGCCCCATATTTTCTGAATATTTAATTTAATGAACTACATCAGCATGCGTATGAAAGATAAGCAATGTATTTATTTTTCTTTTTTTAGCTTTCTGAGGAGCTTGGCCTGTCCACTCTGGATGAATTGTTGTTGCTATATGGACGGGCATCAGCCCTGACAGAAATTGGTCAGCCTGAGGTAACTTATTCACATACTTCTCTTCTTATCCTAAAGTTCATCCACAGCATATTTTGGGTCTTTCTCAAGATTGAATTTAGAACAACCCCCTCACAAATGTGGACTTGAGCTCCCTAAATCTGCGGCAGTTCTTTCCTTCAAGAGATGAATATCTGTACCTTCACAGAAATCTGATATTAGTTGGAATAAATTTGGCCATATTTTAAAAAAGATACCCGTACTACCTGAATGCTCAAAAATACAGCTATACAAGCTTTTCACATGGTCAGTTCATTGTCTTTAGGGTACATGTTTTTTTTCTTCTTTTTTCCATATTTTGGTTTTTAAAAAATCCTCCCAAATTAACAGTATGCAACTAGCAGGGTTTTTAGATTTCTATTTTTCAAAGGAGTTGCAAACAGAAGTGTTTGATAGCCCCTAAATGAAGGTAAAAGTCATTATGAATTAATGACCATGCATCCACGTCTTTGTCAAACCTAGGAACTCTCACAAGCCCTGAAAGTCTTGGAAAAGATCAAGTCGTACGAGGAGCGCACTTTTCAGTGTCTGGTTTACTACGCTATCGGCCGGGTGTATCTCAGGGAAAACAGGTACAGACACGTCCGGACTTAACGGTTGTTATGGTGTGTTTTTTTCGCAATGTCACTGAATTTCAGTTTGTAAATTCCTCCCTCTGTTTTGGGGTCAGGTTTGCCGATGCTCTGCAGCAGTTTTCAGACTCTCTGCAGATGTCGAGGAATCAAATAACACCGGGTAAACTCACCTGGCCTTTAACAAAGGACATCGTCAAAGAAACTCAGCCCGAGTATTTCCAGGTAGGTCGGGCTTTATTTAACACACAGGTGGGAAACTCCTGTTAAAACCTGTCCTGCCGGTTTTTTGGAAGGTTACCCCTTTGAACATACCTGATTTCCATCAAAGCACCATTAGCAGGCCTGTGCAGCGCTTGAGGTTGTTTTTGTAGAGATCCACCTTACTCAGGATTAGGTGTGTAGAAGCAGAAAAATGTCTAAAATGTGCAGGACAGCGGCCCTCTGCATCTGGAGTTTGATGGACCAGATTTAAGATTTTGATAGATTCTTTTTCCAGTCCCTCTTTACTTGGTGTGTGTGTTTGAGAAATAAGTGAGGCTAACCATGAAAGATGGGCGTACAGTAGCTGAATCAGATGAATGTTAATCTGTTTTTGGCTCATGAAAGGCTCTACGGTGCCACCAGTAGTTTTTGGGGCTGAAGTGGAATTGGATATTAATTTCTCCAAAGAATTAAGAGTTAAGATGGAGCCTTGGCTGTAAATTAATTCTCAAAAAGAGTTGTGTAGCTAAATATGGTAAAGTACGTCTTGGTCTGAGTGTCCTGTTGTCTTTGTAGGAACTTCTGGAGAGCGCTATAGAGCTGTGCAAATTTCCCCCCGTTCCTGATGCCATTTGTCGTCTTCAGAAGTGCCTGTACCCTTATAAAAGTGAAATCTACTTCACTGACCCAGATTTTAAGGTAAATGAAGCTTCTATTGAAGGTGTTATTAAATGTTGAAAGCCTTCAACAGCTGCTTGTGGGTGCAGGGCTACATTCAGATATACTGCTGCCAGAGCTGTCGGGTTGAGTTCCACATCAGCTGCTGGAAGAGCCTGAAGGCAACCAGCTTCACTGAAAAGAACGAAAAGGTACGCTGAGACTGCATTACAGCGGAAAGGGGCAAAAAACTCACCAGTTTTAGTTAAATCTCTTTTAATCCCTTCTTTTTACAGGAAATTCTTCAAGAACCATGTTTGACTCCAGATTGCATTGGCCAAATCAGTAGTATCAAAATCTTTGGGCCTACAGGCCTGGTAAAATGTAAGGTAATGTCTCCAAATCTCCAAAGCTCAAAACCTTTTCAGATGCTTATGAGTTACGATTAAGAGTGCGGAGTTAACACGGGCCCTTCTGTGTCTTCAGTTTGAAACTGTGATCCCCAAAAAGCAGCTTCCAAAGAAGCTGAGAGTGAACCAGAAATGCACAAGGTGAGGCAAGGTGCCATTCTGCAGAAAAAAATGGAGCAGGGTTGTAAGTTTGTTGGGTCACAAAAGACTGATTTATAAACTGTATTTGTCTTCCATTTTCTTTTCAGCATAAAGAAGTTAAAATTAAAGGAGGAGCGCAAGCTGAGGAGGAAGCAGCACAAACAGACTTTCCAGGAAAAGGAACCCATCAGTGATGAGAGCACACCACAGAGAGACAACTCGGTCGTCCAGGCTGAGCAAAAAGGTGACACTTAAAACAGATTTTTGCTTCTTTTCAGACACTAAAATCTCAGGAGCAACAGGAGGAGAAATCAGTTTGACTAAACTTATTCGAAAGACATTTTTGCTTTCGCGTGTTGACCTTTCTTCCTCTGTGTTGCCAGCCTGGTTACTGTACAGGGATCGAGTTCTCCTGCAGATCAGCCAAAACGTGGATCTTCTGAGGGAGGAGAGGGGCCTCCGGGTGTCTGCGCTCGCCACCAGCCTGAAGCCCTGGCTGGAGCTGGACCTGTTTAAGGGAAATCCCATCGCCGGGAGGCTACTGAACTGGCAGGAGGAGGGGCTGGAGACTCTCGGTCAGGCTGTGGAGCTGCTGCTGGAGAGGAACAACAGGGTCTGGGCTCGAGTCTTCATCCAGCAGCTCAGTAGCTGTGTGGATGTCAATCCCAAACTCAGAAGCTGGGCAGGCCAGCTCGACGAAGCCGGTGAGCATCACCAACTTCCTGTTTGTTACTGTGGAGTGCCGTAATGTTCAGCTGATCTCAAGTCGGTACAAGTTTTTGGTACTTTTCAAAGACATCTGTCGGAATATATCGGAATTTTGCGAAAAAAGGTTGCTTTAGTTTAGGGTTCGTATTCGTATTTCTTACCACCTTATGACTCTTTGAAGCCTGACGCCGTGTGTCCCGCTTTCAGGTCTGAACGCAGCCAGATCTTTTGTGGAACGCTACACGGGGCAGTTGGAACAGCTGGACCTGAGTCTTCTTCTGAACTTTGGACCGATGGAAGCGATGATTATAGAGAAACTTGAGATTAAACCTGAGTTTTTTTCAAGCATTGGTTTCACATTGACTGATTATCTAAAACAAGCCACGGAACATGATGTGAGACTCTTTATCTGGACTTTGGAAGAACATAGAGAAGAATATGTCTCTTGCCACCCTATACTGGATGAATATTTTGATATGATGGGTATGTGCTTTCCTTTCTGTTTATTTTTCCAACCAGCAGACCACTGGTGATGAGCCAGTTTGTTTTCCTTCATGATTTGACCCTGTTTTGTGTTTCAGACGGACATTGTTCAGTCTTAAAAAAATCTGATGAAAATGTAAGTCATTTAAAGCTCAAACAATATGTTGGCATATTTGATCAAACAAATAGCACCATGGGAAATGCAGTTCTTTGTATTTTGGTTGGGATAAATTGAAATTCCATTGGCCTTAATTCCAAAAAAAAAAAAAAAGCTCGGAAAGATTTTGCAGTATGAACATTCGAAGTTTAATCCCATTTGGAAAAATAAATGTTTTAGGAAATAGGTGCTAATAGAATGCTTTCATTTCAGAATTCTCCTATACGAGGTAAGAGTCGAGCCCGGAAAAAGAAACACAAAGAGCCAAAGGTTAGAGGATGGATTGTTAACCCACTTTTGTTAACCCACAAAAAAGAGCCTCGTGTTTATCAGCTCTGTTTCCTGCTTCCTTCATCGCAGGGTGTTGTTGTTTTTCCTGGGTTGAGAGGACTAACTCCGAGAGAGGACAGCGAGCAGGACTTTTTTGAAGATGACTCTTTGTAAGTCGTTGCCCCCCCCTGGACACACAAACCGTGACCAGGTGAAGTTGTGGCTGAGGCTGAGCTTTCTGTCCACAGATCATTCCTTCATCCTGCCGACCCGTTCACGGTTCCCAGTTACCTCAGAGAGCAAGTGGCTGATTTTGAGGACCAGTACAACAGAATCCACCACGGAACACACCTAAAAAAGATTTTGGACAACCACCCTGACACAACAAAAGAGTGTTTGTATGAGTAAGTGTGACCTGTAACCATAGATTACGTTGGACTTTTTCTTTTCTTCTTTAAATGCATTTTCATATTAATAAATTAAATTACAAATTGAGACATTAAATATGGGTAAAAGTAATTTCTTCCCATTTATGTGAACATGCTGGTCTCCTCTCTTCTGCTGCAGCTACTTTGCTCAGATCTTGGAAGAGCATGGCCCCCTGTCCCCTGAGGACCCTCTGCTGGTGGGCGAGCTGCAGCATTTCCCCGCTGAGGCCCAGCGGAAGTTTCAAGACGCGGGGGGCTTCGAGCCCTTCCTTCTGGAATCTCTTCGTTTTGTGAAGATGGGGAAGCGTGTCGGCCTGGCCCATCACGCCGTTTCCCTGCAGCAGGTTGACCACAACGCGACGAGCCTGGACGACCTGGATGAAATAGCCGATCCCGAGTATTCTTCTACCTCTCCTCCGGATTTTTATATAAGCGACGAAATGGATTTCACAAGCCATTGTGAGGGATATTACCCTGAAGCCTATCCCATTCTTCCAAATCCATACACGCTTCCTGCCACGTATGGCTTCTACCCAGCAGGGAATGAGCCTCCCTACCACTGGAACGATGGTTCCATCCCCTTTTTGCCTAGTAGCTATGATGACCAGTATGCCTTTGAGGCCGATGACGCGTATTTTGGAAGTGGTCAAGCCTCATCTGTCGCTTCGTTGCCAACCAAAGAGGACGTTTTGAAAAGAGACGCCGCAGTGCAGGTAAACAGCAATGTTTCACCAGTCTTAGACTTAATATAACGTCTGGAGTTTGGCATTAAAAAAAAAGTGATGTCCTTTGTTTTGTTTTGTTTTTTCCTCAGACGTGTAAGGACGCCAGTAGGACTGTGGCGGTTAACACAGAGCTTCTGGAGCCCTTTGAGAGAAGCCCGGTGAGTCCTCCAAAGATCTAAAACTGGTATAGAAAACGGATGGATGGACTTATTCAGTAGTTTTCTACTTTGGATAGTCCAGAGTGAGCATACTGCTGTCCATTTAATGAACTGTTATTTATATTTGTTCGGCTATTCACAAGCAGACGTTCCTGTGTTTGCTTCAGAGTTTGTCTAAATTTGAGTTTCAAACTTGACTATTGTCTTTAAATAAACCTCAGACCTGCTGCTCTCCCTTTTAACCTACACTTTAGATAATAATACAAACCTTTAGGTTACATTGTTATTTTCGTTTCACTTGCATCAAACTGGTTTTCCAAACTAGTTTTAATTTGCATTTAAACATCCATCCATCCATTTTTGAACCGGGAAGCCTCTTGTTGGGAGGCGACAATGCTAACGGCATTTAAACACGAGATGCACAAAAACCTCCACAAGTTCAACAAAGCAGGTTCTTCATTTACATCAAGCCAATTCAGGACGGAGACCTTTTTAAGGTGTTGCCATTTAATGAACGACTTGACCTTTTTTTCAGGGTGACATCAATAAAAAGGAGAAGAGCAACAAGAATATGGAGAATCAGATCAGGAACATGGCTAACGGCAGTAACAGTCTATCCAAAATCCAAGCCAGACTATCCAAAAAAGAAGAACTGGTTTCACTTGAGAACAACGTAAAGAGAATCACCACGAACATCCAAGTAGGTCTAAAGCTGCTGTGGCTAAACACACATGAATGGAAGCGTGGACCATAACTACGTCATTCTGTGCTGATGGGTCTGGTACCGGTTCATGTCTTCTGTGCAGGTGACCAACAAAGAGCTAGTGATGTTCCAGCAGAAGCTGGAGGAGGAGGTGAAAAAGGACCAGAAGGAGAAGAAAGCCAACCAGGAGGTGCTGAAGTCCCTGAAGACGGAGATTGAGCAGCTGGTGGAGGAGAAGGCGAGGTGCGGGTGGTCAGGGTGTAGATTGACACGGGGCCCACGCGCTGTTCAGCTCTTTACCGAACGGGAAAACATTTTCTCTGTGTGCGCAGCCTCACCCGGAGCATCCAGGAGAGAAAAAGCCGCTACGACGCCAAGCTGAACGAGTTCCTGGAGTACAGGTGAGCAGTGGGCAGGAGGCTGAAGGGTCAGGTGG